GCTTGTTTCAAAATATTTATACACTTTCCATCACCACCTGTTTTTCCTTCTGCTTTGGAGTCTTGCCAAACTGGTAAATATTTTAGTGGAGGTGAAATTGGAGTAGCAGACAATTTCATGTGCCTTTTAAATCTGAGTCCTACACAAAGGATTCTTAAGGCTAAAATGCTGATTAGATAAGACATTGCCAATTAAAATTGTGATCTCACGCATGAGGTGTTAGGAAAAACACCTGTAGTGGTTTAAGCCCAGAGGGCAACTGGGCACCACGAAACCACTTGCTCACTCCTTTCCACTCAGGCATGGGGAGAAGCAAACACCACAAAAGGCTCGCCAATTGAGACAAGGATGGGAGGGATGACTCACCAGTTATAGTCACAGGCAAAAGACATCTTCTCCCCATCGGGGAAGAAAAACAACATCAATTTATTTTGAACATCACCACTACCACCACCTAATTTACCAATTAAACAAAGTAGGACTGAGAAATACCATCACATCTTAGAATCACCTTTCCCCCAACCCCTCCCTTCTTTCCAGGCTCAGCTTTGTTGCTGATTTCTCAGCTTGCGCAGGGGGGAGGGGATGGGGGTTGTAGTCAGTTCATCACCTTTTGTCTCTGCTGCTCCTTCCTCCTCAGGGGGAGGACCCCTGTTCCAGTGTGAGGTCACTGTCATGAGAAACAGCCATCCACAGACTTCCTCCAATGTGAGTCCTTCCCACAGGCTGCAGCTCACTATGAACGGATCCAGTGTGGGTCCCCACTGCAGGCTGCAGTCCTCCCAGCAACAGAGTGCTTCATCACTGGCTTCCCTCAGATCCCGGCCGCAGCCACCTGCTCCGGCATGGGGTCCCCCATGGGCTGCAGGTCAGCATCTGCTCCACCTGTGACCTCCCCTGGTTGCAGAGGCATGGCCTGTCCTCTCACTGTGGGCTCTTATACTGAACCGTGTTTACATAGGTATCTCCCTCACAACTTCTCCTCCTCCCAGGTCGCCTTCTTGGATACAATCACACACAGAGGTGCAGCCACTGTCCCTAACGGGCTCAGCCTTGGCCAAAGGTGGGTTGGACTTGGGACTGGGGGAGCTTTGAGAAGCTTCTCCCAGAAGCCACCTCTGTAGCCCCTTTGCCTGTTACCAGAACCCCACCACACACAAACCCAACCCAATACCATACAGACCACACATCACAAAGACTCCTTGTTATCACAAAGCTGTTGATAAGGACTTCTGGAATGAAGGGACAACACAGTCAATCATCCTGTAGATAGATTTGCGATCCTATCTACTTCAGACAAATACCGGGACTGGTAGACCCTTATGAACTGGGGTTCACAAAAGGTCCACTCTCCTGAGGGCAGTGGAGCACAACAGGCACCTGTTATGTTTTATGTAGTAGCCTATGGACAGACCAATACCACAGTCTCAACTGTGAGCAGTAACCTAGAGCATTTTCTCTGCTTGGCAATCATTACTGTTCCCTGACCTGCGATAAGTAACAGTTGCCTTTTATTCCTCTACTGAATTTTTAATCTGCCAATCTGAGAAACAGATGGCAAAACTGCATGCAGATACTCTTCTGCCAGATCTTGCTGTTGTACTGATGCAAACTGACATCTGCTAGAAAAATTCTGTAAACAAATCTAGTTCTACAGAAAAAGCCTGCAAAATTGTTTTCTTGGGCTGACTGAGCAGTCTCTGTCACTCTCCTGATGTAGGACTGAAGATGTCAGTGCACTTCCCTGAGCTATGACATTAGCTAAAGCATCAATAATCCCTCATCCAGTGAGGACACTGAGGGCTGTATGCATCTTCTGTATTCCTTCCGGTCCTTAAAAAGGAATGGACACTATCAAAAACTTTCAACAAGCACCTAAAATGTAAAACTCCAATGAATATACAATAGCCTGATATGATGGAGATCTTTGCAAGGAAAAAGACCTCAACAATACATGATTTCATCATGCTAGGACCCTATTATGGCCAAAAATCTGAAGAGAGCAAGTATTGAAAAAACAGGTCAATTCCCTGTTCTATACTACTGCTAAAAGAGGAAGATTAACTGACTCAGTAGACACTAAGGCTTCCAGTATTAAAACAAAACAGTGCTCCCCAGAGAGGAGTGGAAAAATAACGTATTTAATCTCCTCAGATTTATTGCAGTGCTTAGAATACATACATATCAAATAATCGAATGATCTAGGTTGGAAAAGACCTTGAAGATCACCTAGTCCAACCATTTACCTAACATTGACAGTTCGCAACTACACCATATCCCTAAGTGCCACGCAATAACCCCTTCTGTAAAGAAATGCTTCCCAATATCCAGTCTAAACCTCCCTTGGTGCAACTTGAGGCCATTCCCTCTTCTCCTATCACTTGTTACTTGGTTAAAGAGACTCATCCCCAGCTCTCTGCACCCTCCTCTCAGGTAGCTGTAGAGGGCGATGAGGTCTCCCCTCAGCCTCCTCTTCTCCAGACTAAACACCCCCAGTTCTCTCAGCTGCTCCTTGTATGACCTGTGCTCCAGACCCTGCACCAGCTCCGTTGCCCTTCTCTGGACATGCTCGAGTCATTCAATGTCCTCCAAGAGTGACTTGGCTTGAAAGACTGTGGACTTCCTTTTTGCTATAGAGCACTGCTGCAGGGAGTTTTCCCTCTTCTTATTGCAAAGGAAATGCCTTCAGCTCTTGGACTTTTTTTCCAGAAATAAGATAGTAAAAATATATACATGGCTTTCAGTTCTACCACAAAAGGTGGAACAGGGATGACAGTTCCCATTAAAGGCCAAAGTGCACAAAATACTAGAAGTATTACAGAAGCAACAGAAAGCAACATGTTAACTAGCTTAAGAACTAAAGACTTCCATAGACATGCAGAACTGTACATTGGTTTTGCCAGTGAGAAGGGTCTGAGTAACCTCGTACATGTGAGGTGAACAAGCCGCAAAGTGAGAAAAGCCTTATCAGGCTATTATCATGCACTCAAGTAGTACTCCAAAAAGAACTACCCAGTTCTTGACAGTGAATTTCTGACAACAAAATTTAAAAGATAGCATACTCCAGGGATGAGAACAAACCTATACACAGAGCTCTACCGTGCTTCTACATCATCAAGTGTTATTTTTTTACAAGTAGGTTAAAAAAAAGGCAGATGAAAAGGTGGTCATGTAAAGGAAATAGTTCTTTAATACTTAAGATAGCAAAAGGTTGGTTGGGAAGATTAATGCCAAAGGGATACCTGTGCACATAATTCAGTTGTCAAAGTAGCTTGGACCTCTGTTGCTTAGTTTCTAAAAAGCCATCTATTTTTAAAAAGGTTAAGACAATTTTTATTCATTTGCAATTTAAAGGAAACAGATGTTTCTATATTTATTTTTCTTCTACACAATGCATGTTTAATAGTAAGGAGAGTCAGGGAATTAGTATCTGCTGCTAAGATAATTATCTATTATAGATCTTCCAGGAAAATCAAATTAATTGTGCTTTTTATGACACATTTCTATACTTGCAGCAAGAATCTATCCTTCAGAGAAGCAGGTTTATTAAGTTTTACTAAGTATGTTAAAGGCATATTAAGTAAACTGTACAAGATACACTAGCAATGAGGGAGCTGTAACAAAAGCCAAAAAATTTACAAACAACTCATACTACTGAAATTTGCAGGTGCCAGTGGTAGATTCTGATTAAGACTTTACATTCTTGTAAAAAAAGAAACAAAACTAAAATCAAGAGCAGTAATTGTGTCCTAGTGCCTATTTTCTAAATTTTAAAGCCATATTCCAGAATACAAATAAAAAATAACTAACTACCTGACTTCAAATATACCATAGGATCCATGTTCAAGAAGCATTAAAAAATTAACTCCATTTTAAAATGTAAACACTGGCCAATGTTAATCTATATTATATTATGACATAAAGATCCCCCTAGTATTTTACAGAATCTAGGGCGAAGCCAGAGCTGGTTCTAGTCACTTTTTTAACTGACCTACAGACCAATAGTTCAGCCCAATAACAAAAGCATGTTGTGCACATTACAAATGTAGATGTTTATTAAATTAATTTCTGAATATTACATTTGCCAGTACATGAAGGAAGGTTGTTGTGACCTTGTTTCTTTAACTCATTAGCACTGGGTTAGTATTAGTCCTTGAAAATGACATTTATTTTGCTTCCATTTACTAGACAACTGATTCATATGGTAAAGAACCTGCAGATACCAATAAACACAAGAACAGTCAGTTACAGAAGCGGAGACAAACAGATATCAGGCAGCCAAGAGAAAGCATAGCCTCTAAATAAGCACATATTTTAAAGGAACATGATTGTTCTGTATGGTTCACAGTTTTGCTTAATTAGAAGACTATTTCTTTAGATAAAAACATTAGAAAGATCACAAAAGATAATAGCTTCTAAAGAGAAGGAACTGAGATTTGATAAGGACTAGGCTGTTAACAGAAGAAAAAGTAAGAGTTTTTAAAAGGTAAAATTTTGAGGACAGCAGAAGAAAGCAGAAATACTACCCACCTGTCAGAAAATTTCTGTAGCTGTCAAAATTAAACTTATGGGGTACAACAAAAAACCAGAAAGTTAGAACTTAAATCATGCCATCATTATAATATCTGAAACAAAATTCTCTTCACATACTATGTTAAGGACAACTGAGTTTTATATGCTCTGCAGAAATAGCATAGAATTAAAGACAATTTAGTTTTTATTTGCAGTCTGCGTGCAGATAATCCAACTTAAATTTTGTTGAGTATCCTAGGGATCTGTTTTATTCAAATATTGTGTCTAATTATAGAATTAAGAGGAAACTTCATTTCATCTATCGGCTGCTAAGAACCTTTGAACAGACTGCAAAGTTGGTTTTATTATTGTATATTTGAATCAGTTATATCAATTACTGAACTCTTAAAAACACTGAAAAACTTCAATACTTTTATTAGGAGATACCATCATAAACTAAACTATCCAAGACATAAATGCTGACTTTATTTTTTTTAAGACAAAGGTATATACAGAGTAGATAAGATAGTACTTCCACATAGCACTGAACAAAGTAGTACATGCTCAAGAGATGGGGTTACATTTTCAACGTATTTGGACTGGAGCTCCCTATACACTAATTTTACCACAACTTTCCTGAGGAAGAAAAATCAAATAGAATTTGTCTTCCTCATCTAACAGGAAGAAAGCAGACTCATTTCAGACCATTTTGATGTATCCAACATTAGCCAAATCTATAACTGATCAACTATATTGCCCGAATTCCTGTACTGTCCTACTTAGAGCTATCTCTGTTATACATATTTAAGCAGGAAGTGAGGTTTCATCTGGGACTATGAGCAGTTAAGACAGAACTTTGTCTATCTTTCTCTACACTATTTACAAGACCTCCATATAACTACTACTGATCTTTTCCAAGAGGTTTTTGTTAAAAAATAAAAATTTACTCATGTAAGAGGGGTCTGTGGGCAGTTTCATAGATAACTGAACAAGCAGCAGACTGAAGGACATTTATGTTTGGTCTTGCTACTAAAAGGCAGGCTTAAGGATGTGCACTATTATGTATGTGTCCTAAATATATATATATACATACATCACGAAATGCACAAACTATACTCCAGAAGGGAAAGCATAACTTCTCCCAGCAATTTTACATGTTTACAGAAAACACTAGTTATTTTTAAGTAGCAGTATTTCAAGTTGTCAGTACCCTCTGCATTTGTGCTGCCACCACAGTTCCATCTTTAATTCCATTCTGGCTTCTTATTTTAAGAAGTTAACTGTACTCTTATCTTTCTTATGTTTCTAGAAGAGCACAAATGATGGGATTATAAAGAAAAAAAATGAAATTAAGTTGTTCCACAGTTGTCTTGTCAGAGATGTTTGTAATCATGTATAATACATTGCAAGGAGTAAGTGTAAGCAAAAGCTTTTTAAGAAAATGAAAATATATTGTTTAATTCTTTAATGTGTCAATAAAATGAAGGTCGTAAACATTTCCTTGCACTTAAAATCAGTTCTAAACACAGGAAGTTCCTATCCTTTTAGAAGGCATCATACCAGATCTTCAGAAACACAAAATTTTCATCTCCACCTATTTGGTAATTACAAACTTTCAGCCTTTTTTTTATAACTGTCCCGAATTTCGGTCAAGGTTGACAATAGATCTTCAGACATGAATTCTTCATAGTCTCTGTCAATCTTCACATTCTGCTCATCAAGATATTTCTAGAAGAGAGTTACAGGAAGTCTATTAGAACTATCATGGTCTCTGTTGTACTAGTTCTACTAAAGCATTTTAAGCAGCCATTGTACAGGTTAATTGATTGCAGTTAAACATTTCCCTGAAAGCTATCTACCAGAAGCAGATTAAACCTGAAGGGATGTTACTGCTGAAATGTAATGATCAGTTCTGTTTATTTATACCAAAGGTTTTGTCAACAAATTTAACTAGAATCCACAGACTCAGTGCAGCAGCCCCAAATAACCAATACTTTATTGGAAAGAGTAAGTTCTAATTTCCACGTGTTTAACTGCAGTTGCGAATGTCTCTAGGAACATTTAATTCTAAATATCAAAGTTTAGCTTACCTCTATAGATACTACATGAGTAGCAATCACTTCTAAAAGACGATTCAAGTTATCACCAGCTTTCCTGCTCCCTTCTGTTGTTGTTTGCATAACAACTTGATATCTAAAAAGACACTCAAAGTCATGTCCATAATTATAAAATTCCTGACATCTAAAAGAATCACTTCACCAAGTCTGATATACCATCATCTTTAGCCATATTTTTTTCAGTTAACACTAATTTTAACCAAGTTAGATTTGTATATTAATAGTCAACTCAATGCCAACCAGTAAGAAACAAAGTACCTTAGAGTCAGACTAGTCTTTCCAGACTTTTGGCTGTAAAAATGTAGTTGTCACTTAAGTTTGGAAACAAAAGAATTTCCTTACTACAACCATATATGTGAAAAAAATTACTTGGAAAACAGGAGTTCTGATACAGCAGACATATTCAAGCAAAATACCAAGTGTTGAGGAGAAACATCTTTCAATTGTGAATTTAATATACTGAGATGTATACCTGCTCACCAAAGAATTTTACATTAGGATTCAAAAAAATGTCTTTATCCTTAAAACACATAAAACCCAAAAGAAACCACACAAACAACTTGAAGTTATGGGCCTTACTGCCGTTGAACATCATGCAGTTCATTTGTGGCTTCACTGAGACCTTCATTGACACCACTCTCAAGTAATTGTTTATGCTTCTCTAACAATTCCAACTCATTTGCACATTTTTGCTCTTCCTCTTCTGCCTCCTGTGAACATGAGGAAAGAAGAAAAAAATAAATGCAAATGGATTGCATAACTCAGGAAGTAATCAGGATTTTTCTCCTTTATATTACCTGATTACACCCTGGTATTTGAATTCAGAATTCACACTGGAGTGTACTTAGAGAAGTAACTCCAAACTCGGAACTAAAAAACCCAAGGACATGCCCGCAAACAAAGTTTCAGGTGTTTTCTGAATCATTTTCCACTCAAAACCAGCCTAACCTCCCCTTTATTTCTCTAAATGTATTTCAAGGTCTGTGTTGCAGCAGTTTTTCCTTCCAAGTTCATTTCAAAAAGTGTTATTTACTTAAATAGCATAGAAATGGAATGTCGTGAACAACTGTTTCCAGGTTAACAAAAAAAAAATCACATTTGAGTAAGAAAATTGCTTTTCCCTTTAGTGTTTGAAAGATGAGTACAAAATGTAAGTAATCACCACTCCAATGAGAATGACATTGTTAAGACTATACTTTGCACAATAGCAAACTAAATTCCACCATCAACTAAACATGCATTTCTGGTAAATTACTGAAACATCATCTTTCAAAAATAATTTTAATACCAAAGTATTATGGATAGCATTTTAAAAATTACACGAAAAATTACATGACTGTCTTCTTATAACCATCCAGCTGCAACTGTGTATTTTATGAGCTCACCTTAAAAAACCCCATACGCAACAGCATAGATCAAATGCTAAATTTCAGATGTTTTTGAAAGCAATAAGCAGGTATTAGCAATGAAATAACCCTGTTTCATGATTAAAGCACAGAAGTCTGTATTTGTAAGAGCAGATATGTTAAACACTGGCTTAGTTTAAAAAGCATTTTTTGCCTGGGGACCACAGCAACCAAAACTATACTGTTAGAGAAGTTGGGAGGTACTGAAGCAGCCACTTCATTGTTAACTGGCTGTGCTTTGTTGCTAAACTAGAAGTGAGAAAAAGGATAGGGACTGCTCCCCTACTGAGGAATAAAAACAAACAAAGCAACAATTTTATACCATTCAAACACTTAATGTGCTTTCAGTCAAATGTTTTCCTTAGTTTTTACTGCAATTAAACATGTTTACTAAAAACTGTAAGTGTATTTATTATATAGAAATGGAATAAACAAGGCAGATTCTGTTAACTAAAGTCTCCTTCAGGCACATGCTTTGAGACATTCTGAGGTCTGGAGATGATTGCCACTGCTTTTATTACTGGATATAGTAGCTTGTGATTTACAGGATCTGCCAAAGTACTATGCCAAATTTTCTTACAAGCAAGTGAAAACTGACTCACTTAAGGTAGCATTCAACTGTTTCTGAAAAGAATGAGAGAATCCTGCAAGAGGAATGGAAGGAGGCAAGGGCAGAGGTCTAAACAAACTAAAATGCAAACCAAACACACACATGCATAAACACAAAGATTAGGGATAAGGATGTCATTAAGGATAAATTGTCATCAACCTATAGGAAGTTCTACCTTAAGCTTCTGATGGTAAAGATCATCCAACTTTTCAGCTTCTTCTTTCAGCGTTTTCACACTGCTTTTCTTATCCACTACCATTACGTTCAGCTAGAGTGAAAACATAACCAAGAAAGTATAATTCAAAATGAATTCCAATATATAAATCCAGGCAATCACAAACAACACATGGCAGCCCAGAAATATTTAAAATGGGCCAGGCTGGGATAGCACTAACTTTCTTCACAGCAGGCTGTATGGTGCTTTGTTTGGGATAAGCGGCTAAAAACTGTTGGTAACACACCAATGTTTTGGCTGTTGCTGAATCGCACTTGCACAACATCAAGTCTTTCTCTCCCTCCCATGGCCCCTCACTGAGTAAGATAGGGGTAGGCAAGAGGTTGGGAAGGCAAGTGGCCAGGACAGCTGACCAAAATTGGCCAGAAGGATATTCCATACCATGTACTGTCATGCTCAGCAAAAAAAGCTGAGGTAGGGGAGGAATAATGGGGAAATAAAATTCTCCTCCTTCTAATCCATCCTGAACCCAAGATTGCTAAAAATTTTTCTGATGGCAACTTGTCAGTGATAGTAAGAATGGGCAACTTATTAAAAACAAACCTTTCCAATGTGTATGGTCATATATATGTAAGCTGCATAATCTTCAATGCAGGGAATACACATTATTTCAACCAGCAGGAGATCCTAATTCTCCCCAAAAATTTAGGTTCCATCATTATTAAAGCAATCTTCTCACAGCTTCCCCCCTGCCCCTCGCCCCCAAAAAAACCCCAACCCAACGAAAAACCCCAACAAAACCAACCAAAGCAAAAAGCAACCCACTTCACGCATGCAAAAGGTCAAATGAGACCAGCAGGTAACATTAGGGTACCTTAGTCCTAATCTTCATTAACATACCTGTTCCAGAGTATCTTCCAAAGTCATTTTCCTTTGAGTAGCTTTCCTAATTTCTTCCTCAGTCTGGTTTATGATCTCCATGAGAGGAGCCTGTAATACACATACAAGATCATCTGGTTAATGGAATTTGTTAGTTTGAACTAGCCCCAGTACATCTTTTCCCTCTCCTGTTTTTATTTAGGCTGCTGTACCCTCCAATACCAAATTTCCTTCCTATATTATAATGTAGTTATGGCAATGCATCACACAAGCTTTTCAATGAAGTTTCATGGAGGGGTTAAGAACTACCTTTCCAACATTTCTGATTAACATATTTTTGTAAGCAGTAACAGAAACATTCAGTGTTAACTCTACTTACCTTGATCTGAGTTCTGTATTTGACTAGGCAATTTGGTCCTGTCTCAGGATTAAACTGAATCTCAAAGTCGTGGCCTTTGGAATTCTCAGCACTTACTGGAATTAATTTCAGCTTTCGAGCCAGTTTATGATACTCTGCCAGTTGTATTTCAATCTGTTCAGAGGAGAAAAGGGCAAAAATTGTAGAATAAATACAAGTGAAAAGCTTTTAAAAAAATTCATATAGTACTTTAAACAGGTTTCTAAGTTGCTCTGTACAAACATGATTCCATGTCATGCCACAGTATGCAAGAGCTGTATGTATTGGCAGTTGAGCAGTTTGCACTGTTTGGATTAAGTGTTGTTTTATGATTCTTTGAGTTTGCTCTGCAAGGTTTCTCAGTGTGTATGGTTGAGACTGAATGGTTTCACCCATGGTTTTCCATAATTCTCTGCCATATTTTTTCATGCCTCAACTTTCTGAGGATAAGTTGATAGGGAAGGAAAAACATGCTTGGAAATAGTACAAATAACCAAAACAATGATCAGTTATGTTGATATGCCTTCTGTCATTGGTTTTGACAGATGCCACACAGCCACACATCCTAATAACAAACTTTAATTTGAGCATACATCTAGACAAACCTTCTTAAATGGTCTATGTTCTGATTAATGAGTGCCATTTATACACAAACACCAAAAAAAGTTTTTTTTCCAGTTTATGTGCTTCATACTTGCACAGTATGAAGAATTTAAGTTAATACCAGGTGCTTGATAAAGCGTAACCCTGACACATGCAAAATATATGTGACCCTTTTTTTTTTTTTTAGTTCTCCATCTAGCAAAGCAGTTTTTAAATCCCACCACTCACAGGACCGCATCTTTTGATTCTGTTTGAGGGAACTGAATTTGGCCCTTAAAACCTATTAGAACTTCCCCATAAGGGACCAATTTGTCCCTAAATGCATGCAGAAATATTGATTCAAAGCACTAGTTTTGTATTACTTCCTTGCTATGAAATCTTAACATTAGCCTGAAATTGCTTGTTATCAAAGCTCTCGATGCTGTGAGAGCTGACACAGTGGTGCATATTCTAGCTCTGTCCCTTATGATGCAGGAAAAAAAAAAGTAATACTTTTCTATCATGTTCAAAATAGGAAAGGGCAAAAAGAAAAGAAATATTTTTCAGAGAGATAAACAGAAGTCATTCTTGTCACTTTAGCCTGTTAATACATGTCTATGCTGTTGTTAGACTATTTAGGAAAGAATTTAGCAATAGTCCAAGTCCCAAGCATGATGAAAACTGATAGCCACCTCTCAGTGTAGTAGAGTTTTCACATACCGCCTCTTTATTCCTCGCGTATTTTAGCTCTTCATTCCACAGCTGATGTTCTTCTGCTTCCACTTCCTTAGTCAACTTGTTAATGGTTTGCTGCAACTCATTTCTCTCATGATTTATTCTCTCAATGTCCGCAACTGAGTACTTTTGGTTATCAAAGATGTGCTGGAGACGGGCATTCTCCTGCTTCATTGTTTCTACTTCCATTTCTAAGTTCACAAAACATTTGTGAAAAGGATGTAAAATACCAGCCTATATAGTTAAACCTGATCTCTCTATTCTTATGAGTAAATAATATCTGTATTTCATTACTCTAGTGTACAAACAGCTACCAGCCAGAAAAATCTCCTTATTAGCTATCCATTTTGGAAAGTTTACTTATTGTATGATAATGCTACAAATCTCTCAACCCTGTCCTGAAGCTGAGAAATACAATTATTTTAAACTTATTTCTAGCTTCACTATCCCATTTGTGACCCAGACCTTCTTACCCGCTGTCCGAACTTCCTCATTAACACCTTCCATTTTTTGATCAAGGATGGCTATATGAGATTCCAGATTAGCCAAATAAGCCTGGTATTTCTGGACATCTGCTTGAAGAGATGATTTCAGGTTTCGTAGTGATACTCTACGATCCTAGTAAATGGATGGAAAGAACAACCACTATTATATTGATCTAAAATAATTATCTGGCTTTCCAGACAAGACAGTAGAATAACTGGTCAACTTAAAGAGTATAAGACTAAAAAACTTTAATAAATTTTTATTTCTGCGACAGCTGAATCAAGTTAAGCATCTTTAAAATAAAAAAGGCTGAAAGGATGGTTTGTACCTTAATTCTTGCATTTCTGCTTTTAGTCATTGATTTGCATTAGGCATTGCATTAAGAAAGATCTTACTACAGGTAAGTCACCACTTAATTATAATAATACACAAAGGGCAGACAAAACTAAGGGCAAGAAAAGCTGGGAATACAAGCAGCACGTTTTGCACAGTATGCAGGAGTCTCAATATGAAAGTTGCACAGAAACTAAGCTATTTTTCAACTCATGATGTATTAAAAGCAGAGACCATCTTTTCGAACAAAGTATTTTCCCTAAAATATATCGTTACCACTGAATCTCACGCTCTCATCCACCAAGAAGTTCTTATACCAACTCTTTTAAAGCAGATAATGTTGAAGGTCAGAAAAAAAATGTGGTTCAAGTATTTTATTAATATTTCAGCCAATGCAAGATCTCATCACTTGAAAATATCTGTACAATATCAAACAAACAGTGACTGAAGACTCCACAATAAATGCCTTGTACTGTAATGGTGTAGCCTATAATAACCCGGCCTAACTAAAATCTCTTAGAGCACTGAAAATCATTTTCCATTTGTTGTAATCTTTGTTTAATAGGTGACAATAATGGTCAATAGTAGAAAATTGAACTCCACCACACGATTTACTAACCGGCTCACTTTCCTTTTCTTTTTCTAGTCTTGCAATCTCTTCATGAAGTCTTTTGTTGTCAGCTGCTAAAACTTCTATCTGGTATTCATCTATATTAAACAAGTCCTCTGAGAAAAAAAACATAAGGAGGGGGTGCGGTTACAAATTTATCTTGCTCAGTGTTATCACCTAATCTGAGTATCTGTGCTTTAGCTTCAGCACAGTAAATACCCATTATCTGGACAATTATTTTAAACTAAAAAACCCACAAGAAAACAACCAAACCCACCAAAAACCCCCTTTCATTACAAAGCAAATAGGCAAAAAGCCCAAAACAAGAAGAAAAGTTTTTCAGTCCTCATGTCATAAAAGATCTCAAAATCACTCCTGTGAGGTTAGTTTCCAAACTCTCAATAGAACCCGCACTACAGATTAGTGGTTGTTTAAATTTAATCTGTTCCATTTTAACAAGGTAGTCTGACTTGTATAGTCCTTTCTGATCCACATACTTCCTTGCCTTGAGACATCTTTTCCCCTTACTTCTCTCAGTCTTTGCTGAACAATGGCATGATTACTTTTTCCTATTTCTAGTAAGTCCGGGTAACTTATGTTTCCTCTCCAATTGATGGCTCCAGCTTGCAGCAGAAGTGTCCCTTAGTCTGGTTTTTCACAGGAGGGCACAGAAAGTGAAAAATGTGTTTTCTCTTTGTTCTCATATTGTTTATATTTCTGTTGGTGAGTCAAATAATAATTTTCCATCTCCCTGAAGAAAAACACATGTGCATGCTGAATCGTATATGGGAACCTTCACAACAGGGTTTAGAACTCTTGCAGACTGTTTTCAGAGCTTTCAGAAGATGAACTTCCTTACTCATCAGATGTGCAGCCTCTGGTAATATTTTCCTTTTTTGTTAACTTTGTCATACAGAAATAAGAATTATCTGCATAGATGGAATTTGCATCTGAAGAATTGTGAACTTCTGTTGCAAAGGCATTGAAAATAATAGGGTTACACAGCTGACAGCAGAGCATGACCCATCTGTCTGTACTAGTAACAATGCACAGAAAGAAGAGAATTAAGTCAAAGTAACTGAGAGAAACTCAGGAATTTCAGGTTCCCTTACCTCAGATTACTTTCATTTGTAAACGGAGCAAAACTGATGCCAGGAGAAGAAAAACCAGTAACACAATGAAATACTTAATTAAAACATGAAAACTTACTTAATTTTGACTGCACTTCCGCATCCAGTTCTTCAAAAGTATCTCTCCCTTTCATGAAGAGCTCATAGCACTTCACAGAGTAGTCCATGAAAAGCTGAAAACCATTTAAAAAGTTTTAATTTAAATGATTTAAGGCGCTGTAAAATATCTAGATAGTCTAAACCTACTCAACCAATGAAATTAAACAGACACCAAAAATATCTTTCACTGGTTTGACTGCACTTCTGTAAAAATCAATTTTTTTTCCTCCCATTAAACAGATAATATCCAGGCAGAAGGAGGCATCTAGAATTCACATTAAGAAAGGTCTGGAAATACTTGATACATTTTTCTGGGATATCTAACAAGGATAGTGAACACAGCATTTAAGAATTTATTATCTTGAAGCATGTGATCCTCTCAGGCTAGTTTATGGAAACTGTAGGTCTGTTTAACACACTTCTGCAGTAAATGTGGAGACATCACAGGAGTGATCTAGAATTAAAGAAAGTTCACCCCAAAAGAATTTACTGGACACTTTAAATTACAGATCTTTCAGAAGCAATTACACTAGTATTGTGAATTTTGTTTCAACATATATGCATATGCATCAGCATATAAGCACACATTTAATTTAAAAGCACTTTTACTTGTCAACTGTCAGGTGTGTAACCTTAGTCTAAAATTCTGATTTAATTTGATGTTTGCTATTTTCTAATTAAATGTTCTGGCACATTATACAACCTCTTCCAAACATCTGCTGTGAGTTAACACTGAGGTAAATCTGAACAGTACTAATAATCTATGATAAATTCAGCAGGCTGCTGATTTTTAAGTGCTCAAATTAACATTGCCACCCTATTTTGTGCCTCAGAAATTAAACATTACAACCAATTTTTAGATGGCAAACTGAGTAGATATCAGCAGGAGCCATCACATTTTTAATTAAGGCACTGTGTTTACATTGTGATGCTGTTAACCTTAGAAGACTGAAGTGTTAAAGAGAAATATACCTGAGACCCTACTAAGACAGTAAACAACCAGCATGACTCCTGTTCTCCACAAAGGAAAACAGAAATAGTAGCAGCTTGGAGAATAAGGCATTTCAATTTAATACCCAGTCTTCACCAATAGACTGGCCATGATGCCTGCTCAGGAAACTAGTTGATCAGGCTTTTTATATAATGCTACAATACTTCCTAGAGAACTCTGTGAATATAAAACTAAACAGAATATATGACATAATTTTAACTGCATTTATACATCTAAATTGTGTTGTTACAGCATATGGCAATATCCAGCTGAACAATTCTGATAATAAATTTTTAATGGTACCTTATTATGTACAATTCCATCATCTGTCTCGCCTCCCCAGCTCTGTCCATCATCAAATGATGGTGCATTTTCCCTCATGGCAGCATACAACTGAAAGGCACAGGTATACGTACAAAGAGCAAGTGTAAAGATAGCCATTAGTTTTCATATTAGTTTCATGTTAATGATAATCAGCAGAGTAACACCGGATCAGGATTTCAGCAAGCAGGGTGTAATGGTGCTGTTTCAGAATGTGACCAATCACACCAGGGTAATGAGCCTGTGCTTAGCTGACAAAAAGCACAGATGAAGGGGCATTAACCAGACATTCAACACTGCTAAATTGCCTTGCTAAGACAAATGTGTCTTTTCAGCATAAAGGATGGGATTTTCATGTGTGTCCAATTCAGCAGTGGTGAACTTCTGTCACATATTCCAAATTTTGCTCCGACCTGAGCTGGCAGCAACACCTACCATTTTATAAAAACCCACCCAAACACCCCCCCACACACACACTCTGTACAGCCACCACAGGACACTTGTATAATTGCTATTGAAAATTCCATCCTTAGACTTCAAATTTAAGGGAAGATGACAGATGTCACGAGATCTGCACTGAAGATACATGATTATACCAATTAACTTTTCACGTTTTTATGAATGTATGTTGTCATTCCTCCCTCCTTTTCTCATACACAAATTTATCCAGTGCACACATTAAAAAAAATTACCATAATATGACATGAAAAACTCAGTTTAAAATTTTCTATATGTACGGCTAGGGGTTAGCTCCTAGATGGCAGGTAAGAACACCTATCTTTTTCTTTACATATCAAACAAAGATTTTTAGGAAATACTTAAGACACCTATATCGAAACTAACATTCCAGCCTGAAAAGTGGAAATATTTGGCTTAAAGAAGACAAATGTTACCTTAACACAATCAATTAACCAAACCAAAGCTGTCACGATCTGAGGCCATGTGTGTGGCGCTCCCACTGTGTACATGGAGCTTTTTGACAAAGGAAAGGGGTACCTACAAGGCAAAAGAAAACACATTTTTAATAGCTGTGGCAAACAGTGATAAAAACAAACGAACACATTTTTACATATAGGTCAAGGCTCAGAAGGAAGAACTCAATCATACTTTATACTGTACATCAATGGGAGATAAGCTGAGTTCTTAGTGTCATATTTTATTAAATTATTGTGAGTTTCTCATTTTGTGTTTTGTAGAATCATAGAATTTCTCAAGTTGGAAGGGACCCATAAGGATCATAAAGTCCAACACCCTGCTCCTCACAGGACTACATAGAACTAAACCATATGACTAAGAGTATCATCCAGATACTCCTTGAACTCCAAAAGGGTTGGTGGGGTGATCGCTTTCTTGGGGACCCTGTTCCAGTGACAAACCACCCTCTCAAGTGAAGGACCTTCTCCTAACGTCCAATCTGAATTTCCCCTGATGCAGCTTCATTCTATTTCCTCATGTCCTATCACTGGGCACCAGAAAGATCTGCACCTCCCCCTCCGCTGCCCCCCTTGAGGAACTTGTAGACTCTGATAGGGTCACCCCTCAGCCATCCGTTCTCCAAGCTGAAAAAAACCCAAGTGACCTCAGACACTCCTCAGAAGTCTTGCCTTTGGGACCTTTCACCATCTTGCTTACCCTCCTCTGGACACACTCTAACAGGTCAATGTCCTTCTTATACTGAGGTGCCCAAAACTGCACACGGTACCGCACACAAGGCCACACCAGTGCAGTGCAGAGTGGGACAATCACCTCCCTCGACTGGCTAGCTATTGCAGAAATGATTGAAGAAATGGACTTTTGCATATCTAAACAACAATTAAGGCCTCCTACAAAAAAAGGTAAACTATTCCTTCATACACTTCTTAGCACCTTCCCATTCAGCTTAGTATGTTGCCTTGATCTTAGTAGCAGACAGGTCTGCCTTTCTCCTTCTGAAGCTACTATGGGAGGAGAGGTGAGCACTGCAGTATTAAGGAAAAAGGAAGTGGGTGCCCTGAAAGCATGAGATGATTGATGATGAAACAAAGACCTCAAAGCAAAGGCACCAAATGCAAAGGAGGAAATAAAAGTCCAATGGATGATTAGACTTCCAAACTGGGTGTGCAAGCCTGAAGGATTTCTTAATATATGAAAATTGATACACAAGAGTCCTGTTCTCAGAGGGCAAGATTCTTGCTTCTTGAGTAAAATGCACTTTGAAAACAGAAAAGCAGTTGACAATCAGCTTAATGTCATGCAATTACAGAAAAGAATTTCAGAACAGCTGCATATCAAAGCATTAATATTACCTATAAATATGAAACACACAAAGGCTCTACTGCTAATTACAAACATTCTCTCAAAATCTTCTACAGATAAGGAACACAGAAGTGTGAATTTTATTCCACCTTTAGACTGACAGCTGCCCAAAGTTATTTTAAGAACATAGGACAAGAAGCTACTGATAAAGTGCGAGTTCTAAATAAGCGCTCATGAGCCATTTGGCCTGAGAATTTTTTAAAATCAATTATTTATGTTTATTTTCTAACTCTCAAAAGACAACTTAAAGTGAGTTCTCAAAATAAGTTTTTTTATCCGGGATTACACTCTTGGTGCAGCAGAGCAAAGCTTCTTGAGAGCAACTTCCTTTTCAAAATTTCAGCTAGGTCAGCAGTTCCAAATGTTATAGGTTAAACCAAAATTTTATTAAAATACTGAGAAGCAAACAGAACAGATTTATACCTTCATCTAAGGAGACTTAGAGCTTTGACACCATCATAGGCTGAAACCTACAGAAATACACTTTTTTTTTTTTTAGTAAGACTGAATAGTCACCATTATCATCAAGCAGAGGATTTTGTTTCTTGGGAGTGTTGGTGCATTAATGATTCCAAACACTTACTGAACAGGAGTAGAAATAAAACACCCAGCTACTTAGTGCTTTTTTCACCTCAGTGGTAATTTTTGTTATTTCCACCTCTTACTTTGAAAGCAGAATGAGAGAAGTTACAGAAAAAATTAGTTTTAACTAAATGAACCGGATTCAACATTCTGCAATTTTTTTTAGTTCTTGGCTTTTAACAGAATGAACCAGAAGAGTCTGCAAAAAAAAATTTGTCTGGCTTTCAAAGTTTAATACAACTAAAGATAATTAACTGGATTTTACATTACAACGCAAGCTTCGAACATCCTATAGTCCTGCAAGTTCAAATATAAAATGTAGAGTTTGAGAATCAGAGTAAACTTAGAGCTAAACAAAAGTGAAACAAAATAATCACACCATTGGAGGTTCAGTCTCATCTGAATAAATACTCCTATCCATTCTTCCCAGCTATCATGCGTCCTTCTTAGCTTTTAACATTCTACAATATCATATCTATTTAGCACAACAGACAAACAATAATGATCTTACCCAAGCTCTTTAAAAACTCTGGGAATTTCCTCTTCAAATTTTGAGTCAGGCAGTTCATAAGAAGGGCAGAGAAATCCATAGATAAAAGTGAAGATTTTTAAAAAGTCCTTAACTGATGGAGACTGCAGTGATTTCATGGAAACATTATGGGCATAACCATTCTCAGCAAGAAACTGAGAAAAAAAACATGGCATATTAGTCACTAAATATAATCAAAAGTTGAAGCCATGAAAAATAAATATTTTGATTGGTATCTTTTATGCCTAATAATGCATGTTTAGAATAAGTTAATAAGTTACCTCGCAAAGCTGCTTGATGCATTGTTGGATGAATGCCTTGTCATGAAGTGGCCTGGGGTCCTTGATCTTTTCTGTACCAAACACACCATACTGACTGTTGCGTGATCCTCCAGCCCCACTAGTCCTAAGAACAAAAAATAAACATAGTTCTTGTGACAATACATACAAAAAAGAACTACCTTAATGTTTAAGTCACTACAATTGCTATTTTGATGTTTCTTTTCCATTTGTTATGCAAAAGGATGCCTGAAGGTTTCTCTTTATTTAGGATGATTGGAAAAACTTCAACGCATAAGCCATGATGCACAACAGTGCATCCTGTATCCTAGCTGAACATTTTCTTAATTTTATTGAAAGTTTTACAGAGCAGAAAAATACCCCAAAGATGAAGAAACAAAATGATGTAGGTGATTGAAAATAAAGGCTAAAATATTTAAGGAATATTTAAAAGGAATAGATCCCTGCAACAGTGGGGTCCTATGAAAGAAGACATCAGAATGCAGCAAGCCATGAACTAAGCTGCAAGATTACAGAATTTTGGAAGGTTTGCATCTTAGAGAGAAGAAGCTAAGGCAGAGTATATTGGAGATATTGTTCTTCCTTAAATCGGTCTTCCTTAAGTAGACCTTAAGGTCGGCAGGCATATCATTCCCAAGAGGAAGAACAGCTCTCAAAGCAATTCCTACTCCACAGAATGATTATTTAATGATCAAAGAGTGGAGGAAGGCAGACCTCAAGGTCTGCTGGCCTTAGATCCATTATTTCCTATAATGAAAAGCTGTCAGGAGAGAAAAATTACGAAATTATGTAAGGACTGTTACCGTTTTATTTTACAGTACAAGAGATCTAAAGCTATCAATACCTCTTCCCAAAAAAGCTGACTTTTCTGTCCGAAGTTCCAGGTGTAGGTTTGCTCATGCTCAGCTTCCCAAACATACCTCTGTCCTTCCTGAGGGATAGAGAGTAAGATTCAAGTGACTTTTTGCTCATGTAAGAAAACTATAAACACATGCACATAAGCCTCTGCATCTTTAGTATGACAACATCTTAGAAAAGTCAACTGATTTTAATGCATTATTTATCCACTGTCAAAACTACTTCTGCAAGAAGATTTTTAAGTAGACATTTAATACACACATGCACCCTGCCACCTTCTAAGAAATATGTAAGAAAAAGTATTATAATTTGAAAGGTGTCATGTGTAGATTAAAAAAGTTTTTTGCAGAACTGGAGCACTTGTGCAAATATATTTGGCTGCAAGGAGCCTTCTTGCTGCTCCCATTTTTTTTTTTCAGTTGCTACTCACACACTCGAATGTACTAAAGTAAATCTCTTCAGTTATTTTTATATATCTATTCTTACCATGACGATCAGCAAGACTTACATCTGAGGTGTTTGAAGACCCATCTTGTTGTTGTCCTGTACTCTCAGTGCCATCATAGATTGCCGGCCACTGCTTCCGGCAGTACATGAGCTTCGTCTCATTGTGACTAAGCTGTAAATCACAATCTGTCAGTATTGGAAAATCCAGGATCTAAGAGTATTTGTTTTTTTTTAAACACTACAATGACCTTCTAAAGTGTCAGAATAAGCAAGTAGAACTGTACTTTGGACCAACCAGTCTGACAGTTTCCAGAAATACTGGGTTCTCTTAAAAAGAAAAGCGCATGTCAAACTCCAGAATGACATAGTAGCAGCCACAGCCTTTCAAACCAGCTGTTTTATTAATGAAAGCGGTAGTGCTTCTTACAAACCTGCTATTTTGTCTCTATTTATATCTAGTAATTTCTAAGGTACAGGTTCCAAAAGCAAAATGGCTTAAGAAGTTTCTCAGTCCAGTCAGCTGAGAGGAAAGCCATGCTAACATGCCTGCTGTTTCTAGCACTTCAGTCACCTATCTGTTCCTTAGCCACTAATTCTGAGCCTGCTTAATGACTTTGCAAATGATCTCACAGTGTCATAGCACAATAACCGGAAAGTCAATTCTGAGATAATATTATGGCTATCTTCAGACTACACATGCAAAATATAAACTGAACTGCAAGTACTGAACTGTCCCCACAGTGGCATTAAATAGCATTTTCAGGTAAACAGAATTAACTCTGCAAAAAATGCCAACAGATCCTCTGTAGAGGGCAAAAGTTTTATTTGTGGAGTGGGCTCAAATGACTGAATTTTAACTAATCAAAAAGTCTTCATAACAAAGATTACTAAAACACACTGTCAATATAAATTGCATTTCTGGATCACACTTCTAGTTCCACTTCTCAAAAACCATGACAGAAGTTTAGCTTGGGCCCAGTTCGTGGGGCAGTTTATCCATGACCTCATTGTCTCTGGTGAAGAAGCTACAGTCTTTCGTTGCTTTACCGGGGATCCATCACAGACCGAGTAAATTGTTCTCGTAAACATACCAAGCGACTAGTTTAAGAGCAGAGTTTGCTAGAGTCGACACACCGGCAGAAAAGCGGCAGGAAGGCGGCAGAACTGGGTCCAGCGACACCCACCTACACGAGCAGCGCGTACCAAAGACAAGCGGGGAAGCCAGCGGCGTTCACACACCAACAGCCCGACACTCGCCGCCGCCGCCGGGCCCACCCCTCTCACAGCCCCGACTTTCCCCCGGGGCTCGGCCGCCGCCTGCCCCCCCCC